ATTTATAATGTTTTTTAATTAAGAGATCAAAATAAAACAATTAAATAAATTAAAGAATTTTCTTAAATATAATATCCTTTGTTGTTTCTTTATCCTAACTCTTATTTATCACAAATTAATTAATATATTTATATACTCAATAACTCATTAAGGTGTCATTTTTGTTATTATGTCATTTTTGTTATAATAATATTTTTGTAATTCAATTATTGTTTTAAAAATATTCTTTATAAAGTAAACATTTAGTTATCCTTAAATTTAGTTGAGTTTCACTACCCTAAATCAATCAAATATGTCACATCACTTTTATTTTATTTATTTTAAAATAAATTAAAATGTTAAAAGAATTTGCATTAAAGACACCATACTCAATTGAAACTCATGGATACTAAAGAATTCAATCTAACATTTTTAATTACTTATTTAATATATTTTCTATTCAGTAAAAAAACACAAAGTTAAAACTGCGGGTAAATTTTCCAAGCATATCTGCAATTCTTTTACTGACACTCCTAATGGAGATTTCTGATTAAAAGAGGAGAAAGAATAAAAAAGAGAAAATAATCTAAAAAGAGAAAACAATTCATGATAAAGTAAGCAAATGTTTTCAACATGTCTAGGCAAATATCTCAAATTCACTCGGATTTAATTCAACATTTTTAGAATTGTTTTTGGTCTTTCAAAAAACCAAATTAAACATGCACATATAATATTTAGATGAGTTAAATACATTTTATTCTTATAATTGTAGCGAGTTTTGATTTATCTTATTTTTAAATAAAAAAATTTCGCTCTTTAACAAATATAGATTTTAAAATAGAAAACCTTACAACTCAAAATTCTCTTTAAATTTCAGACGTGACTATGACATTCTTGCCGACTGTGTAATTAAATATCATTTTGGTTTTTTTAAATATTTTTTAATATTTTATTTAATTGGCTTGAGTTGCTGACTTGGATTAATTTATTTTATATTTATCTTTTTGATTAATTATTTTTTATATTTATGTTTTTTTAAATTATTTGTATTAATATTTTTTATGAAATTATATTTAAAAATAATTATTAAAATATTATTAAGACCTTAAATACCCATTATATATTTGATTAATAGTTTATTTACCCATACATTTCCATTTTCAATTCATTTAGTGTTGTGTTTCTTTGTTATATAAATATTATTTCTGTTTCTATTATAAGCAATGTGAGACTCTTAAATGTAGAGTTCTTGTTTTCATGTTTGCAACATTCGCAGGAGCACCACCAGGAGATGCCAACTGCAACATTCGCAGGAGCACCACCAGGAGCTTTCTTGAAAGCAGGCGCTTCAGCTAGCGACACTCCACCAACCGTTAGCACGAAATCTATCAAGAACTCACCAAACAAACAACCAGTTCACTTGTTTCATCGCATCCTTCTATCACGCGATCATCAGATTTACCTGCAAACATAGTAGACCTTAGATCAACATGAATTCATGCCTCAGAAAATTTAACTGCAAAAAACTAAACTAAATAGGACAGATTCATACATTAAATAGTATTAAATTCCTAGAAGAAAAAAAAGAATCATTTCAATGAAAATCACTACCAACTATGATAACCCTCGCATGGAATTGGTGATTAGACAAATCAGTTTGTGAACTAAATCACAACTAAATTTTCAAAACTTAGACCCATTTATTATTAAACTTTATCTTTCATGTGCTCTGTTCGTCAACTAACTGTTGGGGGGAGATTATTAGGAACATTGATGCATAGTGTAGGAACAAGCACCTTTGAGAGAGACACACCACTTGTCCACCTAAAACCTTAAGGTGATAGGTGAGTGGGTTCTCCCACTTATGTCTTCACATTCCTATCCAATGTGAGACTATTTCTCCACTTACTCACACTTGCTATATTATTCCAACACTCTCCCTCAAATGTGAGTCCACAATACTCCCCCACTTGTACCGCACCACTTCTTGGGCGAATTTCGATATGTTGGGGGGAGATTATTAGGAACATTGATGCATAGTGTAGGAACAAGCACCTTTGAGAGAGACACGCCACTTGTCCATCTAAAACCTTAAGGTGATAGGTGAGTGGGTTCTCCCACTTATGTCTCCACATTCCTATCCAATGTGGGACTATTTCCCCACTTACTCACACTTGCTATATTATTCCAACACTCCCCCTCAAGTGTGAGTCCACAATGCTCTCCCACTTGTACTGCACCACTTCTTGGACGAATTTCGATACAAGTTTCTTCCGGTCCCTTTCTCGAACCAAAGGCTCTGATACCATGTTGGGGGGAGATTATTATGAGCATTGATGCATAGTGTAGGAACAAGCACCTTTGAGAGAGACACACCACTTGTCCACCTAAAACCTTAAGGTGATGGGTGAGTGGGTTCTCCCACTTATGTCTCCACATTCCTATCCAATGTGGGACTATTTCCCCACTTACTCACACTTGCTATATTATTTCAGCACTAACAAGCATCACACCCCCATAAGACCATGTGCAATGGTGTGTTTAATTGAACTCAACATGGCAAAATCATGTGCAATGGTGTGTTTAGAGTAGTGTTGAGTGTGTGTTGGAGGAGAGAGATGTTGAGAAAACTCAACACCATGTACACTGACGCATGGGCTGACGTGGCAGCAACTGGTTGGCTGACCAGATTTTTATCCATTTAATACTTTGAACTCAATTATTTCGTTGCAAATTAATTTTTTTTTTTTTTTTACTAAAATTCATGATTTTTTTTTCTCTATAAATAGAGACTTGGTTCATTTGATTTGGACACAAAAAAAACTAAGTTTTTCACTATCTTAATTTTATTATTAGTGTTTATTTTGAAGTTAAGTGTCTTTTTTTATTTAAATAAATTTTGTTTTTATTACAAAAAATTAAAAAATAAATTATTAAGTATTTATTATTTTAATTTAATTTTAATCGATAATTGTAATTTTATGTAATCATAAAAATAAAAATAAAATTTAAATAAGAATATGAAAATAAAAAGTGGTGGGGTAGGGTGTTGAGTGAAAAACCATTGGAGAGTGTAAAAGTTGAATGGGTGTTGAGTTATTAGGTGGAAGAAAGAGAAAATGATGTGGAGTGTTGGGAGTTGAAAAAGTGGGTGTTGAGTTTTTCAACCATTGTAAATGGTCTAAGATAAAAATGTATTCTTTAGCCCAAATAGAATAAAAACAATAACCCATTATCAGAAAAATCTAAAAAATGCATTCTTTAGCTTAAAAAAATCAAGTTCCAACAAACTCAGATATTAATACCAACAATGGATAATATTTTATAGCACTAGTTGAAGACACAAGTTTAGCACTAATTTGCATGCCAGTTGTTTTCCTCGTAGAAATGAGATTTAGAACAAATTATCTTGTTTTTATTAATATTTCAGGAGTCCCACGTCGATTGATAACAAGTAAACATTAGTATTTATATACGAATCACATATATTATCCAATGAATCAAGAGCTGGTTGAGTATACGGACTCCTTTGAAATCAAAAATGGACTTAAGTCCAAATAATATATTTTGAATAAGTTAACAAAATAATTTATTAAAATTTCATTAAATATTAATTAATAAAAACAATTTAAGAAAATATAAAATAATTAATATGAAAAAGTGAAAATAATAATATTTAAAAAAACATTTAAAAAAATCAAAAAGCGTAAAAAATAAACAAAATAAGAAAACTAAAAAAATAAATAGATCATAATTTAAAAAATGCCACAAAAAATATGACGTGGAATATAAAAATAACATATTAAAAAATATTTAAAAAAGACAAAGTGGCATTTAATTTAAGTATAAAGTGCATTTAATCATATTTAAATTATTTTAAAATCAATTCTAGAAATATATAATTGATTATGTGTGAGTTTGAAGTGTTTGATTTATCAAAAGTAGAATTGATTATGTTTTCAGAAGTGATTTTTATACTGAAATTTATTGTTCAACTCACTTTTACATAAATATATATACAAATATAAATCAATTTTGTTAAAATCAATTATGCTAGAATTAATTCTACTAAATTCAATTATGTTAGAATCAATTTTATAAACCGTCAATTCAAATACACCCTTAATCTTTCTCGTAATTATTCTCATGATTAAAGAGAGAATAAGCTTAACTAACTATAATTTTTACTTTTACTCTTTATTTTTATTTTTTATAATTTTTTTAAATTAAATTAATTTATAAATATTTTTCTGATCTTTAATTTTTGTTTAAATACATAAGTGAGAATATTATTTTTAAAATAATAATTTAAAAAATATAATTTTATAATTTAAAACAAACACACAGCTATTGTTTGATACAGCTATAGTTTGATACAGCTAGTCTCATGAATCAAACACTATTATTCAGTATAATAAAATATCACGTTTATTTTATTTTATTTAAAAATAAATTAAATTATAAAATAATTCCAACATAAAATCAAATCATGGATATCAAATAATATAAAATACACCATAAAATCAAATTATGGATATAAAATAATATAAAATAGACCACGAGTATTAAATCTCACCCGCATGGGCATACTATTTATATATCTAGGGTGTTGGAGTTGTTTTGGTGGGCCATTTGAACTTTGGCGGTGTGTTTGTTACTAATATTATTTATAACTCTTACAACACCATGTGCTGTTTCTACTTTAGTGCATTTGGCTTATTCAAAAGTAATTTAACAAGAACACGTTTAAAAAGTGTATGATATTTTATCCAACCTCAATTTGTATGACGCCGTTAAAATATGAAACGTGTTGTCTGATCTGGTAAATAATTTTAAACGCTGAAAGGGTAAATACGTAACTTCACATTATCTGATCTCCCTTTTCCTTATCTTGTGCAATTTCATCATTTCAACTCCTCCTCCTAACTCGCCATAGCCACAATCCTATTTCTTTGTGTCTCTTCAAAGACACAAAGACACACCAAGTACTAAACATAGAAATAAACATTACATTCAATACCATGTCTATGTCTCTTTCTTTTCTTCGTTTCTCTTGTTCCTCTCATTCAATTTCACCCTCTTTATCTCATCTTCCTCCTCAATTACCAAACTCTCGTGCTTCCCATTTCGTTTTCTGCCGCTATAGACGCACTCACATTGCTTGTTCATCTTCTTCCATTCGCCGTCGTCTCTGCAAACTCCGTTCCTTTTCCAGCCTCAGCGGAGCTTCTGAATTTGACAGTATAAGTCAAAGGAGCCATGACGAAGAAGAAGATGATGAACAACAAATTAGAACTAGAGCTAGTAATGAGGATGAAGTAGACGATGATGAAGAAGATGAACAAGAGTTTATTAGCTCTTATGTTTTCCCTGAAAGATGGGATGTCTTAGGTCTTGGACAGGCCATGGTAATGTCCATTTTCATTGCTCATTCATTTGTGTGGATAATAACTAATAACATTGTAATCGGTTGTTTTGGGTATTCTTTTTAGGTGGACTTTTCTGGCACAGTTGATGATGAGTTCCTGGAGAATTTAGGATTAGAAAAGGGAACAAGGAGACTTGTAAATCATGAGGAAAGAGGTAGAGTTTTGCAGGCCATGGATGGTTGCAGCTATAAAGCCGCTGCTGGTGGATCTCTTTCTAATACCTTAGTTGCCCTGGCAAGGCTTGGAGGTCGCTCCCTCCGAGAACCTGCTATAAATGTCGCAATGGCTGGCAGTGTCGCAAGCGATCTATTGGGTGGTTTCTACAGGTTTGCTCTTTCATCTTTGTTCATATGCTTGATTAAGTTGTGGCTTGTTTAGTTTCATTATTTTAAATTTTAGGGAAAAATTACGCCGAGCAAATGTGCAATTTCTGTCTGTGCCTATCAAGGATGCCACAACTGGAACTGTTATAGTTCTTACCACTCCAGATGCTCATCGCACAATGCTTGCATATCAGGTTCAATTTACTACAAATCAAGAAATATTATTACTATATATATATTCACTTCATTCCAAGGCTGTCAAGATCTTAAAATCTTACGATTTTGCAATCAAACTCACCCCGTAATAAAATATAAAATCTCAATCATACATGCCTAAAAAATTTGAGCAATTTGCATTGTTATGATATTGATGAAATCATGTACTTCCAAAGATGTCTATTTGGTAATTACCTTTATTAAGGTTAATTCTACGTACTCTTTTTTTTGAGGTAACTAAAAATTAATGAAGGAAAAAATGCTAATATTTCTGTATTCTTTTGTCAGGGCACATCTTCAACTGTTAACTTTGACACTTCCTTGGCAAGTGCAGTTTCTAAGACCAACATACTTGTTGTTGAAGGGTATCTATTTGAACTTCCCGACACTATCAGAACAATAACAAAAGCATGTATGGTAGCTAGGAGTAATGGTGCCCTGGTTGCAGTAACAGCTTCAGATGTCTCCTGCATCGAGAGACATTTTGATCATTTCTGGTTGGGTTATTACACTCCTCTGGTTTATTTTTTCCGTATAATAGTTCATTTGTTTCCACTTAATGTCAAAATTATCTACATCATATTAGTATATTGATTCAATCCAGAAATTTAAGAAGGTGTTTAGATCACAAACATATAATTGTATGTAACTTGTACTTGTTCATTCAACAGGGAGATCATAGGCAATTATGCAGATTTAATCTTCGCAAACGTTGATGAGGCGAGAGCTCTTTGTAATTTGGATGCAAAGGAGAGCCCTGTTTCTGTTGCAAAGTATCTAAGTCAGTTTGTCCCTCTAGTATCTGTTACGGACGGTATCAAAGGCTCTTACATAGGCGTAAAAGGTGAAGCCGTATACATCCCTCCTACTCCATGTGTTCCAGTAGATACATGTGGTGCTGGTGATGCATATGCTTCTGGCATTTTGTATGGTGTTTTACGAGGCATGTCGGATGTGAGAAGTATCGGTACAATAGCAGCTAAGGTTGCATCCACTGTTGTTGCGCAGCAGGGAACGAGGCTTCGAATTTCAGATGCAGTTAAATTGGCTGAATCTTTTGCGTTTCAACTTAATGCATCATCGACGGTTTGATCTGATGTTGGTACTGATCATATTTCCACTGTTAATTAGATTGTGAACTTACATTGGCTTCCAAAATTCTTTCATAAGATGAAGGAAGGAATGTATTTCTTTGATTTATTTCAAAAGTAATGTAAATACTTTCATTATAATAAGATAGCTATAGCTATGATGACAATTAAATTATATAGATTTCTGTTTTATTTGATTCTCTTTCAATTTCATTCAATTTGGGGGTGAACTCTTGCATCATTTTAACAAAATGGTTCGGCCAAATCTCTGCTTTAGTTGTTGAATGAGTTGTTAACTCTAATGATGTAAATGGTATAGGGCATTCTGATTTCAAATGCACTTGAATAAAATATCGCGGATTTGAAATCCACCCAACACACATAATACAATCATTTGGATTTGGAGGTGGTGTAGTTGATAAGTGCAAATTGTAGCTATTTTTGTATATAAGTTTTGTTGCACTTATCGACTTTTTATTTGTTAATATTGTTGAATAATCCCGACTTTTGTGTAAATACATTTAGTTTGTGTATAATGCATTTTCTTGTATAGAGTGTATCGTTTGATAGTTTTGTATTTATTTTGTAGGTATTTGAGTATTATTGGAGCAATAGGAATAAAGCTCCAAGATGCATTTTTGGATCAATAAAGGAATAAGGCCGAGATTGAAAGCCATTGGAAGTTATGCAGAGAAAGCAATAGAAGTTGCATTCCTGTCATGGATCGCCGGGCGAAAGTAAGGTGTCGTCGGGCGAAATTTGAAGTCGAATTTTCATGTTATTTCTGCCATGCGCCGTTGGGCGAAAGGGAGCGTCGCTGGGCGAAAATAAGAAGAGTCGTCGGGCGATGAATTGTGGTTGTCGGGCGACAGTAGATATTTGTTTCAGTTGAGGACGTGGCTTTTTCCGAGCCTTGTAAATAAGAGCTGTCCTCGGGCGACGCTTTTATATCGTCGGGCGATGGTTGCGGATCAGATTTTCTTTATATTTTTTTTTGTTTCATTTGGAGGTGATGATTTTGGGTATTTTTGATACCAACTCTATCAACCTTCATTTTTGGATAGGGTTAGCTTAGAAAACAACATCGAAGCTTGCATACGGATGATCCGGGGTGGATTACTCTTCAATCGGCGCTGACAAACCGGTAGATTTGTGGTTCATTTATCTTCTTCTTTGTGTATTCTTTATGTGTTGAGTTTGTACATGTATTTACTCTGAACTTATGTATATTTGTCGTCCATGGCGTTATATTAAACTTGTTTTACAAATATTTGTCAATTATTGTCTTAGATTTTTGCTCTGTGCTAGGGATTTGAGTTGTTATAGACATATACTGCTTAGATTCTTATCTAGGATGATTATCTGTAAGTTTCTGAACTCTGAAGATAGATTTAGAGTTGACATCTACTTGGGTATCAGAGTTTAATGCCTCTGTGTGGTTGTGATGTACTGAGAGATCGTCAGTGCGATTACATAGTTGTCTTCTGTGTTGTTGAGGAGGTAGAGAGATTGTTTCCTTGGTGATATAGTCGGTCTCTCAATTTGGGCTAGAAATGACTTAGATTGTGAGTGATATGTGGTGACATTGATGAGTATTGTTAGGTTGAATGTAACTGGTCGATAGATTTAAATCTGTGATGAGTAGATTATATGCAGGCTTGATAAGTTATTCCTTAGTTTTTTTCTTTTTTTTTACATTTATTTTTTGTTGATAACATTTTCTTTACAAACCAATTCAAACCAAACTCATTAATGAGAGATTTCGAACATCAATTCAATAACCAATCTCTGTGGACACGATAAATTTTCGGATAAATATTTCCAAAACTTTTGTTGCTTGCCGCTATAACGCACCAACAAAATGGCGCCGTTGTCGGGAATTAGTTCTATTATCTTCGCATTGCGAAAATTCTTTTGTTTTTGAGTTTTGTAATTAATGTATATGTTGTATAGAAATTGTACATTAACTTGTATATGATATTTGTGCATATATGTGTTTTCACGTATTGTTGTGAATTGTCTCGTTTTCGTAACGTTTATTGTGTGATTGTTAGGACATTTTCTTTAGGTTTGTGCGGTGTGACAATACCATGGCATGATGAGAGGAGGTTACTAGCTCTCACAATAAAGGCGTCGAGCTTACGACGTAAAACAAGCATGTTTGTTTGTATTTGTTTATATGTGTGGTGATTTGTGCTTTAACAAGTTGAAGCAAGGAAATGTTCTGAATTTCAAATCTTCACTTTTCAACTTGTTAATTTAGTTTCACCCGGTTTTTATATTGCTATTTGTATTTGTTTTGTTATGTCAATTTGTGTTTTTCGAAAGCTTGTCGTGTTTAGCTTGAGGAGTTTTCTTCATTGTATATATTGTAAATTTTGTACATTGAAATTTTGTAGGAGTATTATTTTTCTAATTCTTTTGTTGTTGTTTGGACCCAAGTTTTGGTCTGGTAACTTGTAGAATATTGAGGTGATTTGTCAAGTTTGATCGTTTCGACTTGCGAATGTGTGGTAATGATTTTGTTAAAATTTTGTACACGTTCGAGATATGTGTTTATCGTTTTCTATACTTTAGCATATTCATGATACTTAGACTTTTACAATTTTTATGTCATTAATTCTTTTGTATACTTTTCATTTATGAATCACTTTAGTTCTCATCCTTTTTGTGAGTAGCTTTCCGTTGTTCACATATGCTGGAGGTCAAAATTCTTGTTTTAACTGGATTTTATTATGCTTAATCTTTTGTTTTGTGTTGATTGTATGAACGCAAGAAAGTGATCAAAGTATTTTTTGTTCCATTTTGAGCACAACTACCTAGTCAAATAGTCAATTCACCTTGTGAGTATGTGATCATTAGTAACCCCTTTGAGCTTTTTGTCGATATCCAGGTTGTATTTGCTAAATGCTTGTCTATGAGTGTTTAGTTTCTCTTTTTGTATGGATATTGATTCTTTATTTTCTTGAATCCTTAACTATGATTTGTAGTTGAATTTTTAGCTTGCCTTAGAAAGTATGGACTATTCACATTATGATGATGGTTGAATTCAAGTTGGGGAGAGGAATGCTTATGTGTTTATGTTGTGATTGCTATGAGGTTGAAAAAGAAACGAAAAAGAAAAGAAAAAGAAAAGAAGAAAAAAAGTGAAATAGAAAAAATAGAAAAAGAAAGAGAAAAATTGAAAAAGCATTGAAAAAAGAAAAATAAAAAAGAGTATGGAATAATGTTGTATTAATAAGTGATGTGTGTTGCCGTGAAACTTGTGATGAAGAAGAATTTTGATTGAAATTCTATTGTCTGAAACTTTGTGGAAGTAATTACTCCCTTAGGTTTAGGCAAGTTTTTGTTTCGATTAGCTTTAGGACTTATCACTTGTTTGTTAACCAAGCCACATTACAACTTTGAAAAGCCCTTGAGATTCTTGCTTTTATATTTTCAATGTAAATTTTTAGATGAATGTATAATTTAGTCTATTGTTTGCAAGATTGTTGGATGAGTGAAAATTCCCCATTTTTGTGTGTTTTTCATCTACCGATGATTATGTTTGCTAGATGTGATTCATTTGTGACCAAGTATTATTTTAGAATGTTTGGCATATTATTTGTATTTAGCATTTTTTCATGTTTATATTATCGTCGTAGTTTAGTGGTAAGTATGTTTCTTCGTGTGTACCGTTTTTCATTTGAACCATTGCATTTGTTTTTTGTTTTCAAAACTTGTCGATTCGTGACTCTTTGGTTGATCGTTTTGGTTTCTTTGAGTTATTAGACTTTGTTTGATGACAAGCAATGATTCAAGTTAGGGAGAGTTTGATAAGTGCAAATTGTAGCTATTTTTGTATATAAGTTTTGTTGTACTTATCGACTTTTTGTTTGTTAATATTGTTGAATAATCCCGACTTTTGTGTAAATACGTTTAGTTTGTGTATAATTCACTTTCTTGTATAAAGTGTATCGTTTGATAGTTTTGTATTTATTTTGTAGGTATTTGAGCATTGTTAAAGCAATAGGAATAAAGCTCCAAGATGCATTTTTGGATCAATAAAGGAATAAGGCCAAGATTGGAAGCCATTGAAAGTTATGCAGAGAAAGCAATAGAAGTTGTATTCCTGTCATGGATCTTCGGGCGAAAGGAAGGTGTCGTCGAGTGAAATTTGAAGTCAAATTTCCATGTTATTTCTGCCATGCGTCGCTGGGCGAAAGGGAGCGTCGCCGAGCGAAAATAAGAAGATTCGTCGGGTGATTAATTATGGTCGTCGGGCGACAACAGATATTTGTTTCAGTTGAGGACGTGACTTTTCCTGGGCCTTGTAAATAAGAGTTGTCATCGGGCGACGCTTTTATATCGCCAGGCGATGGTTGCGGATCATATTTTCTTTATATTTCTTTTTTGTTTCATTTGGAGGTGATGGTTTTGGGTATTTTTGAACCCTACTCCACCAACCTTCATTTTTGGATAGAATTAACTTAGAAAACAACATTGAAGCTTGCATACGGATGATCCGGGGTGGATTACTTTTCAATCGGCGTTGACAAACCGAAAGATTTATGGTTCATTTCTCTTCTTCTTTGTGTATTCTTTATGTGTTGAGTTTATACATGTATTTACTCTGAACTTATGTATATTTGTCGCCCTGGCATTATATTAAACTTGGTTTACAATTCTTTGTCGATTATTGTCTTAGATTTTTGCTTTGTGTTAGGGATTTGAGTTGTTATAGACATATACTGCTTAGATTCTTATCTAGGATGATTATCTGTTAGTTTCTGAACTCTAGAGATAGATTTAGAGCTGACATCTACCTGGGTATCAGAGCTTAATGCCTCTATGTGGTTGTACTGTACTGAGAGATCATCAGTGTGATTATATAATTGTCTTCTGTGTTGTTGAGGAGGTAGAGAGATTGTTTCCTTGGTGATACAATCGGTCTCTCAATTGGGTTAGAAATGACTTAAGTTGTGAGTGGTGCATGGTGACATTGATGAGTATTGTTAGGTT